TGCTTCCAGTGATTCAACAAGCTTGGAATATTGAGGTGGATGGCTCTCCAATGCATAGACTCTTAAATAAACTTAGGAATGTGAAAAAAGCTATTAAAGGGTGGAATAAGAATATTTTTGGGGATGTTGGTGATAAAGTCCTTAAGCCTACTTTGAAGCTAGAATCAGTTCAGGACAAGTTACTGCAAAATCCATCTGATGATTTGCTTGATGAAAAACAACAGGCCAAAGAAGATTATGATGCTGCTCTTGTAGACCAAGAAATCCTTCTAGCTCAGAAATCAAGACTTACTTGGTTGAGGGATAATGATAGGTGTACTTCCTATTTTCACCAGAAGCTGAAACAACATAGAAATTTCAATGCTATACTCAAAATTGAGAATGATGAAGGGGTGGTTTCAACTGACCAAAAGGTTATTAGTGACTAGTTTGTGGAGTATTACACAAAATTATTCTCAAAGAAGTCTTCTGATATGGTGTGTGATGTAACTCCTCGGCATACTCTGAATTGCACTGAATTGCACCAGGACTTGATGGTTTCCCTGCTAGGTTCTATCAAGCTTTTTGGACTATGATTGATAAAGATGTGTTTGCAGTTTTTCAACACTTTTTTGTGTCAAAAATTATGCCTTTGGGGGTTGTGATACCCCTCGATTCTAGAACCACAGGTGATCAAGTCCGGGCACAGATCCGAAGGATACCAGACAATCAATATATAAACAAGTAGGAATAAAACTGAATTAAGAATAAAATAATGATATGCTGAAAAGAATTCTAATTGTAAAACCTCCAAAAATAAAAGTTTTAATATAAATTAAACTTTCCAATCCGTACAACTCGGGAATCCAACTAGTGGACCCCTAATAATCTCAACTGATAAAACTTTACAGAATAAAATCCAAAACTAAAACCAGAAAGAAAAATCCTATTTAGTCGGAAGAGTGAATGACTGTATCTGCATCACCACGATCAAACCCTAAGCCGGGTACTCACGAACATCTGAAAAATAAAGGTGGGTCAGGCCCACATGCAAGTTCCATCCTACTACAATCCGTACATAAACCTGATACGCAGATACATCCTAGATAGCTCGGCAATATCTACAATAGTCCATAGATAAATATATACACACTATAGGATGCTCACTAGCCTATAACATAGTTCAGCTTGGGTAAAAGGTGACATATAAGACACGCTTTTCAGCGGCCAATTACCTAGACCTACCAGGGAACATTAGCTATATCTAGCTACTCAACCTTTGCCATATACGCACCCTAACCGTGATCAGGAGACTCAAGCTCGTATCACGGTACCATAAATATATATATATAAATTCCTTCCTAATGCAGAAAGATAAAACAAACATCCGTTATGTCGTTCAACTGTTTTAGTTGACAGGACATGCATCCATGTAGGATTTAACTGTTTTAGTTAATCCATTTCGTATGTATGAAAGGGGTAGGACTTAGCTTTTTGATCTAATCCATCCCTGATATGTCACCGTCCCATACCAGTACATATAATGCATATGATCCACACATGATGCACACTCAAAATGAACATCAAGTATATCCAGAACCAACATAATAGAAATCAGACATAGATAAGCTCCTATCATGCATCCAGTATATGATTATATTCATAGATCCTCCTTTTAAATTGTTAAAATAAGAATAAACAATTTAAACCATCCATTTCCATGTAATTGACAGAACAGAAATTAAGACAGTTCAGCAATTATCCTTCATAACATAATATAATGAATATCAGAATTTTAAACTGCACATTATACTAGAATTCCAAAACAACACATCCATACTAGTTTGTTTAAAATGTTAAAATGATGACTAGCATTTAAATCCTCCCATATCCTTTACGACATGCAAATTTATTGTTAAATCTCATGGCATCTATGTAATTCCCCATTATAAATTTTGTGTCGGATATAATTACACTCCAAAGTTTAAGTACATCATATGAAACTTCAAAAAGTATTTTATATGAGTTCCATTTAATTTGCTAACACAAAACTAGCAACTAATCTTCCACTACTCCCGACAATATGCAGCTTATTAGATAAGGGTACATGACGTCATAACCAACATTCCTGGAACTGAACTATGCTAAATATATCATTGATATAAATTCTAACAATAATTACAATGTCAGTCCAAATTAAGTTGTCAAAATAACTTAGCAAAACAAGCATTCCTCCTTCCTTGACAGTAGGCCTATTATAAGCTTATGTTTTATGACATGCATTTAGGTTTAGCACCTTAGCATAAACCAACTATTTGAAGGCTTTAACAAGTTAATTTTAATCATTTAAAACCCCCCATCACTTTCCAGCAATTACCTTTAAGCCCCTGAACTTCAGAAAAATTACAGAAAACACCCGTTGGGGTTTTTTTCCTATGGGAGCCGGCTCCACTTTGTTGGAGCCGGCTCCCCTTTGTTGGAGCCGGCTCCTAGGCTTCTAGAGCCGGCTCTCCCTCATGGAGAGCCGGCTCTCTCTTCATGGGAGCCGGCTCCCACCATTTAGGAGCAGGTTCTCACCCTTGAGAGCCCTTCTCTGCTTCACTGCTTCGTTTTTGCTTCGTCCGGTTGTCGTCTGCTCTTCCGGCGAAGCCCAATGTCCTATCCCAAATCTTTTTAACATTCCTAGGGTTCTATTCAAGTTCCTAAAGTCCTAGAAACCCTACATATTCCAATATGAATTTATTAACAAAGCTTCAACCGAAACAATTTTCTTTTCCTCTATTTATCTTCTTCGCTTCCGGCGAAGACCACCCCTCTGCTCCAAGTTTCCTTAAAGTTCTTAAGGTTCAATACAAGTCCCAACAATCATAGAAACTTCTTAAATTCTATTATGAACTTGATTAACAGAAGTTTAAATAAAAAACAACACAGTTTGAGAAAAACCCAATTTCAGTTATTCAAACGTAAAACAGGTTACAGTCTAATATAACATGCATCAACTATTAGTTTTAAGGGTTGAATTAATCCCTGGAGACTATATAGAATGCACAGAACACAAGTTTATAGGAAGGAGACAGAATGAAACTTGCCTTTGAGATTTTTGAATTAAAATCCTTACGCCGTCTTCCTAGATTTTTCGGCGATCCCGCACTGTTCTAACTTATTTGCTTCCTCCTTGGTTCCTCATACGAACAACACTCCTATCCTTCCTTGGTTCAACCCACAGTCCATGGCTGAAATCCCATCTGGTGGTTCTATCAGTTTCAAGCGCCCCACTGTTTTTCCCTCAAACACCCATTACATGTCTCTGTATCTCTCTATCTCACAATACGTGAAAAGGGTTTTGTTTTCCTAACCTTAACAGACATATAAGATTATATATATAGGCACTTACTACGACCTAATTCCAATTCCTAGCTAACTATAAGTCGGCTTATTTATCTCTATAAAAGAAAACCCTAATCCTATATAACCATACAAAAAATATATACCAAATAAGTCCTATTAAAACATACGTCATTTAATCCTACTTTTAAGTAAAAAAAACAATTAAATTAAAGCAAAATTAAATAGTTAAAGCAACACAGCTAATTAACATAAAACAGATAAATAATTAATTTAACATACATAAACAATTACAATACAACAATTAAATTAAATACACACAAATAATAATAAAACAACTAATTTAACCAAATAACAAATAAGTCCAATAATTTAAATAAAAATGAAAAAACAAACCAAAATACTCTCATTTTATCCTTTTGAAAACTAGGGGTATTACAGGGGTTAGTTGCTCTTTCGTTACTTTTATTCCAAAGGTGGGAGACGCTGTAAAGTTAGTGGATTTCAGGCCTATAGCCCTTTGTAACTTGGTGTATAAGATTGTTATGAAATTAATGGCAAACAGGCTAGCTATGGCATTACCAAGTTTGGTGGGAAAGGAGCAGAGTGCTTTTGTGCAGGGCAAAAAAATCCAAGAGGTAGTAATATTGGCCCATGAATTAGTGAGAGATTTCAACAAGCCCAGGAACGCAGCAATGGCTTTGAAGATAGGCATAAGGAAAGCTTATGATTCTGTCTCTTGGGATGGTTTGTTGACAGCTTTAAAGAAATATGGGTTTGGGGATACTTGGATCAGTTGGATTGAAGCTACTTTTAAGTCAGCTAGATACTCTATTTTGATTAATGGTTCTCCATCTAGATTTTTTCACCCAGAGAGAAGGTTGAGACAAGGCTGTCCTCTTTCACCCTTACTTTTCACCTTGATTACTGAATTATTCTCAACTTTGGTTGCTGATGCTGTTCAAAACAAATCTCTGGTGGTGTTGAAATCTATGTTAAAGTTTCAAAAGCCTATTAGCCATATATTTTTTGCAGATGATCTGATTCTAGCTTGTGAGGCTTCAGTTCAAAATGCTATTACTCTTGAGGGTATTTTTAGAAGATTTGAAGCTGTTACTAGTCTACAAATCAATCAGGGAAAGAGCAGAGTTTTGTTTTCTAGGGCTGTGAGAAGGAAGCATCTGCTGTTGCAGGTTTTGAAGTGTGCTGAAGATGTTTTTCCCATCAAATACTTGGGGCTTCCTTTGTGTCCAACTGTTTTAAAAAGATCACAATGTAAGGATCTGTTGGATAGGGTTACAAGTAAGATTTTCTGCTGGAACACAAAACTTCTCTCTCTGTCAAGTAAATTGGAGCTTATTCAAGCTGTGATATTCCAGTGGTGGTTATCAACCAAATTCAGAAGCAATGCAGGGATTTCCTTTCAGGAAGCAAAGATAATATGAAGAAGATGCATCTTCTTAATTAGGATTGTGTTACTAAACCAAAAACAGAAGGTGGTTTGGGAATTAGAAAGTTGTTTGATATTCAAGTGTCGGCTCGCTGTGTATTAGCTTGGGATTACTTGAACAGCAAAGATACGTTGTGGATCTCTTGGTTTAAGTTCAGGTATGCTCAACATACATCTTTTTGGAATGCTACGCCTCGCAGACTAGCTCCCCCCTATCTAGAAATCAATGATTGCTGTTAGGGAAGTGATGCAACAGAAAGTCTATTTTGAGATTGGTGATGGCCAGCATATAAAACTCTTCAGGGATCCATGGTGTAAAGGGCAGATGTTCAGCTCATTATTTGGCCATAGAGTGGTCAGAAGTATGCATCTCCAAAGCGATGCTCCGGTCAGTTCACTGATATTTAATGGAGCTTGGAGTTTGCATAATTTGCAAAGTGATAACTTGGTAGCAGTACAGGTATTTCTGCAGACTGTGGAAATTAAAGGTGGAGAGGATAAATTGCTGTGGGATGATGGGAATTTCAATTTCAAGAACGCTTGGAAATGTGTTAGACATACTAATATTGTGGTACCATGGTTCAAATTGTGTTGGGGAAGGCTCAGCCAAGATGGTCTAGCTGTGTTAATGTTATTGGATAGACTTCCTACCATGTGTAATTTGCAGAGAAGAAGAGTCTGTTTGGTTTCTAGATGCACACTTTGTCAGAAGAGTTTGGACACTACAGATCATGTGTTTGTTACCTGCCCTTTCTCTCAAGGTTTCTGGAAATGGTTAGGTGGGATTCTTGGTTGGGATCTCATTAAATTTCAAGATATGTTAACAGCTTGGGACCTTTTCAATTGGATGGATAATTTATATAACAAGTCAAAACAGTTGCAAATTCTTTTTGCTGCAGGTCTGTGGTACATTTGGCGGGAAAGGAACAATAGACTTCATGGTTCCATTAGCCTTCGCTTGGAGGTAGTGGCAAGGACTACCTTCCTGGAAGTGTGTGATGTTCAGAGAATTAATTTTATTGATGTTATTGTGTAATATCTGTTTTGGTATAGTGCTGTTGTACTAGAATTGGGCCTATTCATTAAAGCACACACTCCTACTTTTTCTTATTCTTTTTGTTCTCTGAAGGTATGCCCTCTGTGCTCCTGTATTCCGGTTTTATTTTTTTTGAGCTCAATACAACTCCAATTATGAAAAAAATAATAATAATAATTATAACTTTTAATTTAATATTAAATAACAAGGTCAAATTTAACATTTCATAACCCATTTAAGGGTTGTTCACTTGATAAGTTTTGTTAGTTTGGGAGTTTTTATAATTTTATTAGGAGTTTTATACACGATTTTGACAGAAGAAGAGGGTTTTGTGATTTTAACCCATACATATATACACACACACATATGGATTCACATATGGATTTTTTTTTGAAGTTTTTGTTTGGACAGGTTAAAAGTAGGTACCCATTATAAATCCACTAACAATCCGATAATTATATTATTTTTTATTAACTATCCGGCTAAAGACTCGTTTAATTAAATTACTCACTCAATAACTCATTATTTGCCATAGTCTGGGTAATCTTTGCCACCCTTAAGATACTCCGTATCTATGAATATTTTATACGTAACACTTTTACTGCCATCGCCTTGAATTTATTTCCTCACTTGTAATTTAATTTAATATTGGAATATGATTGAAAAAATAACAAAATAATATGCATATTTAAATTATGGTAATATATAAATGCAACCATAAATTTTTTATTAACATTCGTATTATATCCATACATGCATATATCTATGCATGTTTTTACAATTTATATTTTTTATGTACAATTTTAATTGTATTTGTAAGATAAAAGATATTATAATTCTATGTATTATAAACCTTTGAGCAAATTAAATACATAAAGCGTATCACCTTTATTACTTTGACCACTTCTAAAAGTATGAAATATTTTTCATATCCTTATCTAATTTAATAGTAATTTAATAAAAATATATATGAAACCAAACGACTCTATTACCCATCTCTCCAATCTTGTAAACACTGTATTACCTTACCTAATTTGTTTTCATAAAAAAGAGAAACATAATCAAACCCTAAAAAGAGACCTAATCAAATGTCATTAAAAAAGTAATTCTTTTGTAAAATTTAATAATCTAAAATTAGTATGAAAATTGATATTTTGCATTTCAATATAAACTTATTAAAATATTGTAACGCAAAGAAATGGTAATTTATTTATATTTTGAATTTTTATTACCGACATAGGGTGTTATCGAGCACACACTCCAAATCTCAATAAAAATAAAAATAATAAATAACAAATGTTATCTTTGTGTAATTTGCCCAAACCTCAAAGAAGGTTAGCATAAATCCGAACTTTTTTTTTTTTTTCGTTTCCCTATTAGGCTATTACTGACTATATTCATTTGGTATGTCTTGTTCTCACGCTAATTAACAAGAGGAAAAGATTGTTGGATCATTGTGTGCAAGCCAAAAAAATAAAAGGGTATTGTGTATTTACCCAAAAAAAAAAAAAAAAAAAAAAAAAGGAAAAAGAAAGAAAGAAAGAAGATTATTGTGGACATTTTAATAAAAAAAAGAACTATACCAGGTCTTTGCAAGAAAAAAGAAAAAGAATAATACTTGGATTTATTACTAATATATGAAGTTCTACTGAAAACCAAGCAACCATTTTAAGACAATAAAAACCAAAGCCTCCAATGCATTTAAAGAACAAGAAACCTTCCATTTGTTGGATCCTCCTCAAAGGCCTTTGAATTTTCTTCCTCATCTGTTTTTAAAAAGTGAAGGTTGGTGGAGGCCTGGAGGGTTTAAATCAATCTTTTAAAAAAATTATGTGAAACGACAAATTAAAGGCATTTTTTTTTTCTTTTTACGTACAAAATGCCTTTAAATTGTTGAAGTCGAATTATGGTCCCCCAATTGCCAAGACTGTGACATTAACTTTAAAAATTTAATATCTCCACTGTGCAAGTCATACTCAAGTCGTTCATGTAACGACCTTAACTGATGCCAAGAATTTTTTAAAAAAATTTCGGTATAACCTCCCCTAAAAATGGACCTACCGCAACCTGTTTAAATGCATATTTAACCTGTCATGCAACTAATTTCCGAATTCACGGCAACAAAAGATAATGATACAACCTACAAATCTAGACAATACTTCAAGCTAGGATTATCCTTCCATTCATCAACAAGTTACATATCATCAAGTTCGCATCCCATATGTCATCAAGTATCATAAGTGTATTACATGATCATGATCATGGTTCTTCACAAGGAAAATGCTCCTCTAGCAACTTTCAAAGTTGGGGTGGATTGTCGTCCACTGGTTCTTTTCCAAGACCTGAAAAAAAAAATATAGATATAGGGGTGAGCATATAGCTCAGCAGAGACACTTAAGACACAAATCTTGTGTCCTTGTGAATTCAAGCAAAGCATAGGCCAATGGGAGATAGGGATCAAACAACGTAGGGGATCAAATACAACATACAATTCAATTCCAATTATAAATAATGCAATGCAATGCAATGAAATGCAATGCATGTCAATGACACTCCCCATTTTCATTCTCAAAACCATCACTTTCAAACGTTAATACAGCCCGCCCTTTGGTAACCCCGCCGCGACACAAGAGGAGGATTGGCTAGTGTCCCTGACCCTTGGTAACCCCGCGGCGTCATTATGGGGCCCAGCTAGCTCAACCACACTAGGGCGACTCCCTAGTCCCCTCTAGGCTATATTAACCTCCGGCCCGTTGGTAACCCCGCAGCGACCGGGTTTCGCATAAAATCATTTCATCAAAAACACTTTCCCGAAATTTCCCCTTTTTGAAGTAAATCAATTCTTTCCCTTTTCTTGCCCAATGTTAATGCATGAATACCTCAATGACATACACAAGATCATCATTCCATACTTTATCCAATTTAAGCAACATGGCATAATTCGCAAGAATAATCAAGAAAGTCATAACATACTTATACATAACAAGTTCTAGCACAATGAACATATATAATCAAGTCCTAAACATGCTTCACATAGAACAATCAACAAATATAGTCACACAACTAACATATATGCATACATATCAACAATTCTCTAGATTTTAAACAACTAATTAAATTAAACAACAATTAGAGGCAATTAACTCACTAAGGTACAAGATTTCATGAATTAAGGGCCCCTACCTCAAGATTGCACCAAAACCCTAGAAAATGGGTCTCAAGATTCGAAATCCAAAGGGGCACAAATGTAATGTTTAAGTTTTTATTTTTATTTTTATATATATGTGTGTTAGTGGAGGGACCCATAATTTTGTTTTAAAGTGGTCATTAAGACCACATTTGTGTTTTTGTTTTCTGCATCTCACTCTCTCTTTCCCAGCTGCCCGCTTCCACCTTCCTCTCTGTTTTCTTTTTCCTTTTTCCACTTCAAGGTTTCAATCCTTGATTGCTCCCTCATTTCCTTGTGTTTTTAAGTATCGTTTGAGGCAAAACAAAGCCCGCGACGAGCTCTACGCGCTTATACAAGCAATTTCAGTTTTTGGTCTTCCTAGGGGCTTCGAATTTAGAGACCCAATTTCTAGGGTTTTGCCTATTTTGAGGTAGGGGCATCTTAATCCACTCTAGTCTTGTTCTATTGTGAATTTTACCTCCATGTTGTATTAAATATGCTTAATTTAGAGTTAATTATATCTATGATGGTATTAATGATGTCTAGAGGGTTTTCACGATCTTGAATATGGTTGGTTCATGTGCAAATTATATTTAGTTGTTGATTTCCTATGTTTACTATGTGCTAGCATGCTGAAATTGATGTATGAGAGTATGCTTATATAAATTGCGCCAAATTTCCCAATTCATGATGTTGAACTCATATATATATATACATGCACATGCTTAAATGTATTTTGTTGTATCTTAATGTGTTAATAATTACTTGGGAGATGTTGAACATGTTGAATGTTTAATTTTATGATGGAAAATTTTAAATGCCATGACATTGAATGTATGGAACATATATACATGCACATACCATTGGGTTTGCATGAAATGGGAGAAATTGTTTTTGAAATAAATATAGGGAATTTCAGGGAAGTGTTTTTGATAAAATGGTTTTATGCGAAACCCGGTCGCTGCGGGGTTACCAACGGGCCGGAGGTTAATATAGCCTAGAGGGGACTAGGGAGTCGCCCTAGCATGGTTGAGCTAGCTGGGCCCCATAATGACGCCGCGGGGTTACCAAGGGTCAGGGACACTAGCCAATCCTCCTTTCGTGTCGCGGCGGGGTTACCAAAGGGCAGGCTGTATTAACGTTTGAAAGTGATGATTTTGAGAATGAAAATGGGGAGTGTCATTGACATGCATTGCATTTCATTTCATTGCATTGCATTGTTTATACTTGGAATTGACTTGTATGTTGTATTTGATCCCCTACGTTGTATGATCTCTATCTCCCATTGGCCTATGCTTTGCTTGAATTCACAAGGACACAAGATTTGTGTCTTAAGTGTCACCTACTGAGCATATAGCTCACCCTACTATTTATACTTTTTTTTCAGGTCTTGGAAAAGAACAGGTGAACGACAACCTACCTCAAGCTTGAGCGATACTAGAAGCTCACTTTTATGTCTTTTGTATATTTCCCATTATTTTTGCCAAGCACTAAAAGTATAAAGGTATATATGTATATTTTGCAAAACTTTGTCATGTAACCTTGTTGATGAATGGGAAGGATAATTTTAGTTAAAGTAATTATCGGTATTATTTGATTGTGTATGATCATATACTGTTGTCGTGAATTCGGAAATTGAGCCATGATAGGTCAAAAAATGAATTTAAACAGGGTATGGTAGGCCTATTTTTAGGGGAGGTTATGCCGAATTTTTTGTAAAACTCTTGGCATCAGCTAGGGTCGTTACAACAAAATCTAAAATTGCTTGTATGGATGTGTAGAGCTTGACACGAGTTTCGTTTTGCCTCAAACGACACCTCAATCCGACAAA